ACCAGAAAAGCCATTGAGTGCTGAGCAGACATCAACACTGAGCAGACCTCAGTGAGCTCTTCTGTAGGAGCTTGGAAGATAAGAATGTTAAGTACAATGCAGACTACAGAGGCCTGGCTTGTGAGGTTACAGAGGGGAGATGAAGGGCTCTATTGGGGCCATTTGTTATTTTGACTTTGGAGTCTGTGGTTCTGGTTAGCCGGGACTGAAGAATCAGCTGTGATTAACAAGGTACTAAAATGACTGAAGTGAAACCTTTGCTTTGCTGGGGTACTCCATGCTGGTCAGCTGGAGCTGAGAAATTAGCGGTGATTGACAAGAAACCAGCATCACTGAGCTGAAATCTTCTGGAATCTGTTTCCTGAGAGTAAGCACACACGAGCTGTGTTTCAGACATGGCCAGCGTTGTACCTTGCACTGGCAGCTGAACTTGGTAGTGTAGGAGTCACCCAGGTGGTGCTGGCTTTGACGGTGTGAAGAGGTCGTGGGGAACAGCCTAGGCTTGACAATGTGTGGCAGAGTCGGTGTTCCTGAAGTGACCCCAGGAGAGGCTGTTGGTGAAAATGCAGCCCAGTTGCAGTAGACCCCAGAATTTTGGAGATGCCAGCACCATGGGATGACCACCAAGAACATCAACAGCAGCGGAGTGGAGCCAGCCTGAGCCTGGAAGAGAAGCTGTGTGTGCTGCAGAGGGCAGGCTCTCTGGAGGAGCTCAGAAGACCATGAGTGAATCCCAGATACTGGGCATTGTATCATCACACTGCTGGAGTTTGGTTTTGCTTTTGCATGGTCTGATTGTGACCATGCCCTGGTTCTTATATCTTGAAGTAAGAACATATTTAACTTAATTTTAATTTTTATAGAAGTCCACAGTTGAGAGATTTTGAACTTTTAAAAAGAGATTTTGGATTTTTAAAGAGACTGGATATTTTAAAGGTATTGAACTTTTAATATGTCTGAATTTCTAAAGATTGTGGAACTTTTTATGTTTTTAATGCAAAATCTTGGGAATGAGTAAGAAAGGAAAGGTTGTGGCTTAATTGTGATGTATTTGTGTGTTGAGTTGACAAGGGATCAATTGTGTTGAATTGTTTTATGTCAACCTGACACAAGCTAGAGTCATCTTAGGTGAGGAAACCTCAATGAAGAAAACACCTCCATAAGATTGGGCTCTAGGCAAGCCTATAGGACACTTTCTTAATTAGTGAATGATGTGGGAGGGCCCAACCCTTTGTGGGTGGGGCCATCCCTGGGCTGGTGGTTCTGGATTCTGTAAGAAAGCAGGCTGAGCAAGCCATGAGGAACAAGCCAGGAAGCAGCACCCTCCATGGCCTCTGTGTCAGCTCCTGCCTCCGGGTTCCTGCCCTGACTGAGTTTCTGTTCTGACTTCCTTTGATGATGAACAATGAATTTTAAGTTGCTGTTGGTTATGGTATTTCATCACAGCAGTAGGAGCTTTAACAAAGACACTATCCATATCACCAAATCCATGCATGCCATACACTCTTCACACTTACTTCATATGTGACAAACCACACATCATACTCCACATATACCATATGAATCACCTTTAATATTCTCACATCACATATACCATACACCACATCTTCCCTACTCCATATACACTGTCCTTACCTATCCTATACATGCATTTCCACAGCCCCACACGGCACTTTACCACAAATGCAGTCCACAGACCATGACACATACCTCACCGTTTTCATATTACATATACCGCACTACAGACACAACATGTACTGACATACAACATGACCCCGCACCACACACATCATTCCACATACCCACCAAACATACATATCACATCAGAGACACACTCGTCACACTGACACATATACCACACACTTCCATGCTCCACACAGTACAGGAACCACACAACACATATACCACACTGGTACACTACACAGGACACATACACACCTCACGGAACACACAAACCACATATACGAACACACCCAATAGATACCATAAACACCTGTATGTATGTGCATGAATATGTATGCATATGTGTACACACACACATATAGTGTACTCAGGAGTTAAACAAAGCTTGGCAATTTTCACATACGCTGAGTGACTTGCAAGAAAAGCTAATTTATTAGCAACGGACTGTGTTGTACTTTTAAATAAACTCTTTTATTTACATTTCTTATCTTTTTTTCCACCCCAATCCTTTCCAACACTCCAACACCAGGTAGGAGAGAGAAAGTGTTAGTGGGAGAGGGGGAACAGTTCTCTTAGCTGTTTCCTGCTAGTTAGGGTCTTCAGGTTCCTTGGAGCCAGTCCAGTCCTGGTTTCAGGAGATCTCTAACTTCTTGTCTCGCAACAGCAACCAGGAGCAGAAAGAGAGAAGCAGGAGCAGCCTTGTTCTTTCTCTTAGCCCCACACTCTCTGGGCTCTGGCATTTATTCTCTTTCTAGAGTGCTCAGATTTAAACCATCTGCAGCTGGCAAAGAGCTCCTGTCAGAGCCTGCATGAGGAAAATAGTCTGCTGCTGTGGACCATCTAAATCAGCCCCACATCCCACACCTGGGACCAAACAAAAACATGTTTATACCACCACAGTGGACTCTCCCAACCCCAACTATTGACACCTCAGATGTTTGTATTTTGTTAGCAACACTTAGCACCCCCAGCATGGTGTAGAACCCGGGAAGGGCTCTGACTCGGAAGCACAGTGGCTGTACTGCTGACCAGCTTCGCGTCACACTCTGACTTCGGTAAGCATGAGGTGCAGGGTAAGGACCTGAACAGAAGCACAAAGGGTAGCAGGAGGGCGTGTTTATCACGCGGGAAAGAGAGGAGGAGGAGCAGTAGAGACATGAAGAGGGAGGCGAGAACAGAGACACCGTGAATGAGGCTTGACACGTGTGCTCTCTTCCTGGCGTGCTGTGGATGCTGCCTGCGAGAGAGTGAGGCCTCTTCCCTGCTGACTGCAGTGTGACCGTACAGTGGGCACAGCGGGCAGGAGAGTCCCCTCTGCTGAAAAACCAGACCTCTGAGCAGGGAGGGAATCAGTATAGATAAAGGCGGCAGGGTCATAGACATAGTCCTTATTTTAACGACAGTGACCAGGACTGTGGGCCGCATGTGTGACAGAGGAGTTCTGTTCTAGACTGTACAGAGAATGGTACGTACATGTGCCAGAGGTGCAAGTTGACAAAAACACAGAACAGAGCAGACGTCAGGAGACATGCAGCTTCGGTCCCCTCCCACTACTCTGTGTCAGGTTTAAGCAGCGATATGAAAATCAGGTTTTGCATGAAGATTAGGTGATGATCTTAAGGCCACTTCCTGAATATGATCCTGTGAAGATCCATGGGAAATCGAAGGTTATCTTAAGTTAAATTTCATAGAATCTCACAAAATAGCAGCTCAGGTCTAATGCTGCCAAGGACTGCTGACTCAGCAAACAATGCACTTGGTGAGTGGATATAGTCTTGAAACATTTTAAACATTTTAAAGAAATTCTTTGACAATATATAATACACTTGAGGTGTTTTTTGCCCCCTGTTATCCTCTCTTATCCATCTTCCTCTGCCACTCAAGCCCTTCTTCCTACTTGCATCTTCTTGTAAGGATTTATTTCATTTTCATTTGATGTTTGGGGGTTTGGTTGCACGTCTCTCCATGAACCACATGTCTACGGTGCCCGAGGAAGCCAGAAGAGGGTGTGTGGTGTCCTGGAACTGGAGAACTGGAGCTCACAACCCTGTGTGTGTGTGTGTGTGTGTGTGTGTGTGTGTGTGTGTGTGTAGGCCACTTTGTTGAATTAGGGCTACTTGTATACATAGGAAGTTGTTCCCTGGAGCTACACTACTGAAGAAAATGACACTCCCCTTCCTCAGCACCTATGAAATTCCAGTAGACCTTCAGGGAAGGCTGGAGCCTCATAGGCCCCTTCTCCATCTGTAGTTAAATGAAGCATAGCACTCTTTTCTAAACTCTGGTTTATTTGGGGCTCCTTAAAGCCTCCCCCTTCCAATCTCCCAACCCTAGGTAGGACAGAGAAGGTTAGTAGGGAGAGGGGGTGCAGAACCCTTCAGTTCTCCTGGCTGTTTAGGGTCAATGGGTTCTTTTAGGGCTGTATCAATCCTCCAACCAACAGCAAAAGCAGCAAGCGGCCTCCTCAAAGCAGCTGTGTTGAAATATTTCTCTCCGTCTTCAAGGCGACAAATCATTCAGCTCTGGGCTCTCCAAACTGCCACACCTTCTCTTTCTGGGCTCTCATATTTATCTCCCTCAGAGTCCTGGACCACACCCCTCTCCGTGCTGCGCGAGGCAGGCCATCACCAGCTGGCAAAGACCACACCCTACAGAAGGCAGTTGTCAACTGTGGACAAACTAAAGCCCAAACTAAAACACCACACTTGGGATTAAAACAAAGACACATTTACACAACATAATTGAGTTTTAAAGAAACCAAAAGTTCCATTACAGTGCAGACTAGCCCAGTGTCTTTGCAGGGCTTGTGTAGATAACCACAGCTATGGTGAGTTCACGAGTTCAGTTATGTCATGGCCAGAAAATTGTCTTCTTGCTGCATATTTCCCTGTCCTCTGGCTCTTAGATGATTCTTACACCCTCTAGGATATACTGAGGGGTTTCTTTAGAGTCTGGGGAGACAGTATTATACTGCTGACCTTCACGTGTACATTCAAGGGTTTGTGCATAAAGATATGAAATTTGGCTACACACACACACACACACACGCTCACACACTCATAATGAAGAGTAATTAGACATGTCTCCTCTGAAAGGGAGCTTACATAGAGCATGCACCCCCCTGACTTCTGAGATCCCAGACCCTTCACAGGATGTCGCTGGATGAGCAGATGAAAGTGTGCAATGAGATTTGGGGATTTTTTTTAAGTTACAGTTGAGGCAGATAGGCTAGGAGCTCATTGTTATATACTAGTTTAAATGTGATCTTACCTCAAGACAGGGAAAATAGTCAGATTTCAGACTCTCAGACATGCCTTAATTGCTCTGTAAGACCCAAAGGATCCTTACCTCTTGGGTCATGGATTTCAATTTGATTTATTTACATATTTGGTAAAATGACAGTCACAAAGGGTTTTTGTTGTTGTTGTTGTTGTTTTGTTTATGGGAATTACATACAACCATCCCAACTCATAGTAACTCAGAATAGTATTAACAGTGAGAGAAAAAAGAGTCTATTGCAAAGTCCTGTAACTTCCGGTGTTACTCTGCATATTTTGTTTTTGGCTATCAGTCCAAGAAACACAGTAAATAGCTGTGCTGTGTCATCTGGCGCAGGTCGTGACCACAAAGCCCCAGAGTTCTGTGTCACAGCTCCCACAGCTGTCCCAGGAGGCGCATATGAAGCCAGCTTGGCCACAGATGCTAGGCTAACAGCCCTAAGACCCACACACAGCCAGCCCACCCCCACCCCAAGGAAAGCACAGGAAAGCCCCATCAGTGCTTCTGGGCTCTGGTCTTTTTTCAGTGGTTGGGGTCTGAATCCTCACCCCATCTACTTCAGGTTGGGCATCCTGACGAGGCTGTGCCCTTGCTGGGCATCAATTTCAGCTCCTGTGGGACAAAAAATGTTGCAACAGTCATGTTCCTTAGCCACGAACAGAAAAACATGCCAGTTCTCTAGATGTGCAAGATGAGGTGTACAAGATGAGGTGTGCAAGATGGAGCACCTCACTTGACAATTTTTTAGAATGCACTAGATGATCTTTTGTTGCTGTGTCTGAAGTTTTGTTTTCTTTGAGAAAGGGTCTCACATAGCCCAGGCTGGCCTTGAACTTCCTATGTTGTTGAGTTTAATCTAGAATTCCAAATCCTACTGCCCTCTACCTCCCAGTGTTTGCCAGCGTGCTGGCTCAGATATATATATATATATATAAATGATTTGACTGAAACAGTAATTCTATATTATAAAAAGTACCTTTTAAAGTAAATATTTGGGTGGTTTGGCGATATTAATGCATTTACAACTTATAATTACAGTTTAATTTGAGAACATTTTAATCACCAACTCTTCCCAAACCATATTCCTTAACAATTTTTCCCCAACTCTCCCTTTCAAGTTCTAATAATCACTAGTCTTTTTATCACTAGGATTTGCCTGTCTGGGCATTTCATACATGTGGCATTCTGCATTTAGTTCTTTCACCGACATCTTTAAGCTTCATCCACGATATAGCAATACATGCTTTTAATGCTTTTTTAATGGTGGAATAATATTCCATTGGTGAGATATACCTCTTTTTGTCTATCCACTCATCAGTTCATGGACACCTGGCTATGGTTAATGATGCTGATCCAGACACAGGGGTGTGTATAATCACCTGTATTTGTAGTTTCGATTCTCTTCTCTACTTAGGTGTGGATTTGCTGTCTAATTTGTAGAGGAATCAGCAAAGTGTTTTCATAGTAAATGTATCACCGGTTCACTTCCCAGCCCCTCCACACTCCACACACACACACACACACACACACACACACACCACACTGTCATCTGCCTTCCCGGCCAGCTTAGTGAGCATGAAGGGCTATCTCACTAAGGTATTGGTTCCCACCTCCCCGACAGCATTGGATGTCCTTTCGTGTGCCTATTGGTCATTTGTGTATCTTCCTTGGATGTATGTGTACTCAAATGATCAAGTAACTTCTGCTTTTTAATTTTATTGTGGGCTCTCTTCTTAACCACATCAGCAAACTGACTGCTGGTTTCAAGGTGTCACCTGAAGCCCAGATTTTTGACTGCGTATGGTAGAAGATGTGGTGATGAAGGACAGAAACTAAAGCTCATTGTTTCCAGGGTCAGGAGCCTTACAGCCCTTTGCAAGTACTATTCACTGAATCCTGACATGGGTACAGGAGATGAGGTCTGTCTGTGTTTTCTGAGTGTGCTGGGGACTGTGGCGCTGTCTTGGAGAGCTTGGAGCATGCGTTCAGGGTGGTTCATTTATTCAGTTTTCTCATTGTGAGGCTCACTTGTGGCTTGGTTTGTTTGTTTTCTGGTGTCTGTGTGTGGATTGTAGAGGCCACGTGTTTCCACTGACATAGGCCCCAGGAAGCACTAAGAAGGTCAATAGTTTAGGTGATGAACTCATGATAGTCTCCTAACAGCACAGTGTTTGCTCTTAGTAGAGTTTGGAAGCAAGCAGCTCTGTGTGGGGAGCAGCTGCAGTGGCTAGGAGAGGGTGGTCCTGCGTGCCTATGAGGGTCTCATGATAAATCCAGTCTGTACAGGGAAGGTAAAGGTTCCACATCAAGCCGGCCAGCCAGCTGGCTGCCTTCCAGGCTTCTATTGCCATTTTGTTTTCAGACTCCATTTAATCATAGGGAGAAACTAAGTTCAAGGTCCCAGGCCCTAGAAGATCTGGGGACCTCCCAATAGCTGAACAGCCATCTCAAGGACAACTTCTCCATCTTGCTGGCAGCGTCAAAATAAGTTCATGTTCTCAGGCCCGGCAACTAACTCCTATCCTGACTGGTGGAAACTCTCATGCTCAACCCCTTACGTCAAACTATGAGTGGACAATGCTACAGGCCACCCTGCTCCCCCTCACTTTATGGTTTCACCCTTTAAATATGCTGTGCATATTTAATATACATCCCTTCAAGATTGCAGTTCAGCTCCTGAGCCTGCTCTGCAGCCCTGATCACCCAGTAGCAGCTTGATTACAATAAAATGCTGTCATCTGTATAGATCTAGTATTTGAGTTATGCTGGATTTAAGCGGACCCCGTAATACTATAAAAGGCTGGGACTCTTATCAGAGATAGTAGCACATGCCTTTAATCCCAGCGTTTGAGAAACAGAGGCAGGCAGATCTCTGTGAATTCAAAGCTAGCCTGGTCTACATACCAAGTTCCAGGACAGCCAGGGCTACAGGATAAGCCCCTGTCTCAAACAAAACAAAACAAAAACCAAACAATAGTCTAAGTCACCTGAGAGCACAGCATTCCAGCACCCGTGTAGCCCTAGTACCCTGCATCCCCTACTCTCCCATGGACACACATGGAAGGTTCTGGAAATGCATAAGATACACTGAAAGGCTCCTGGCAGGAAGCTGCCTCCCAACCACAGCACAGCTGTTTCCTGTCTTTCATGGAGAGGAAAAGTCTGGAGCCACTGACAAAGCACCCATAGCTCCAGAGCTGATTGCTGAGAGGAGGTGGGGGTTGCCCTGAAGAAGCTGGCCCCAGAAGCCACTGTAAGGCCATACTTGCCCATGAGCCGAGCTGGCAACACCCTATGTGAAGTGTGGATTGTGGGTGGTAGCTGCTCCCAAGCAGAAGAGTTTCCCTGTGTTTTTCAGCTCCTGCCTTACCCATCAGCCTTACCACTTCCTTTTACATAAAGTGGGGAGAGCAAGCATTCCGAGATTGAATGGACATTACTTCCACACCTTCTCTAGACATTCTCACTGGGAAACAAAAAGTAACTACCTAAAATCAACATAATGAAAGGAATGGGAGAATAACAAAACATAAACCAACAGAAGAATCAGAAATGAGAGCAAACAGTATTCTGGACTTGACTAAAAACCAAAATTCATCTTTGTCCTTAATGGTTATCTTAGATAAAACCAGTACAGAAACGTTAGCAACATGACATAAACACAGGGTCGGCAGAGGAAGCAATACTTTAAAAAAAAAAAACAACAAAAAACAAAAAAAACTTCCAATATATTCAGAAAAAATGAAAAAAATGAACTTTGAAGCAAGGCAGGGTATGCATGCCTGTAATCTTAGCAAATGGGAGGCCGAGGCAGAAGGATTTGAGTTCAAGACCAGCCCAGACAACAGTGAATTTCTTTGTTTAAAAAAACAAAACATTGATAACTAACTTACACAATGCATAAAAATTCCACTTTCATTATAGACTTGAGAAAACTACAAAAGAACACTGTCATACTAAAGAGAGGCCATAGAGAAAAAATTTGGCATATTTTGCTATTAAATATATAAGCCTAGGGGAAAAGTTAAGTATGGGAGAAAGAACACTTGTGACAATAGCAATAGAAAAAAGTAAATACTGATAATACTGAAATACTGATAATAGCTAAAAGAAATGCTCACGGGGAAATAGAGGAAAAATATGAACAGAAATTCATAGTCGAAAATCTTAAAATACGTGTCATCCAATGTTGACAAGAATGTTAGAAAGACGATGCCCTGACTCCACAATGAAGGGCAGATCCCAGAATGTTCTAGAAAGTAAGTTTAGTGTTGTCTACTGAACCCATATTTCAACTTAACGATTTCACATCTAGAAATAAAAGTTGCAAATGTATATGTGCTATGGTGATCACCACAGTTTCACGTAGACTAATGAAAAATAAATTTTTTTATAACTTGGAGACTCTATAAATAAATTAAGACATATATATTTCAAAAATACCAACTGACAAGAGAGGGGATAGAAAAGACCTTTATGGAATGGCTTTGAATGATTTCTATGAAATGGGATTGAATGAAATGAGCAATTTACAGAAAACATGTTTGTGTGAACAAATAAATACACAAATAAATAAAAATATGCATAAATGGTCCCAGCAGTCACATCTATGATAGCTGAGTGGGGACACTGCTTAATAATCATAATCAAGCACTCTCTACTGTCAATGCCTTATTTTCTACAATAGCAAGTGCTAATGCTCTGTAATTAAAATCAAGGTTTGAAACAGAATGTCCAAGTTTTCAATGTAAAGCAAACTGAATTTTCCTAGTGCTTTTCTACTTAGTAACTACTTCTTATTATACATTTTGAAAATGTATAATATTTTTTACAATTATAATATTATACATTTTGAAAATGTATAAAATGTCCTAGCATTTCAGGAAGCTAGAAGAAATATCCAGGCAAATAATAGGAAGGCCATATGCTCAGAAATAATGTAAGAGCCAAGTACAGTGCTTATGGGGGCAGTAGGGATTAAAAAGCCACTATGAGGGGTGTCTATGGGATGGAACCTTGGGGCTGGGTCTTGATCTGTACACCTTTTATGTCCTAGAATACTTACTATTATGTAGCCCATGGCAGCTCAGTCTCCAAGTGGGTTCACTAGTAATGGGAACAGGAGCTGTCTCTGACATGAACTCAGTGGCTGGTTCTTTTTTTGATCATGTCCTCCTGAAGGGGGGAGCAGCCTTACCAGGCCACAGAGGAAGACAATGCAGACAGTCCTGATGAGACCTGCTAGACTAGGGTCAGAGGGAAGGGGAGGAGGACCTCCCCTATCAGTAAACTGGGGGAGGGGCATGGGAGGAGATGGGGGGAGAATGGGATCGGGAGGGGTGGAGGGAGGGGGCTATAGCTGGGGTACAAAGTGAACAAACTGTAATCAATAAAAAATAAATTAAAAATAAATAAATACACACACACCCCAAACAGCATCATGCATAACAACAGTGAGTTATAATTAAAAACTCTTAATTACTTTGATTCATGAGACATTTGTAAGAATAATGATGACAGAATTAAATTGTCCTTCATTCAGAATGATGAATTTGCCAGTGATTTAGGTTAAACAAAGAGGAAGGGTTTAAAGTATAAGTTTTCTGTCAAATTCTTCCAAGTTGTAGATTTTTTTCCTGGATTCTGAGTAGAGCAGCTAATCCAGGTAGTCACATTGTATCATAATAAGGTTTGTTGAATATGATCTGCTCAAGTTTCTATTTTCACCAAACTCTTCTCGGCTCCTGAACAAACTCATTTTTATCTCCTTGTAAGTTTGGGAGGGAAGACGGGTGAATTCTTCAGGGGAGAGTTCTTCAGGCTTCACTATGACTTCTGTGACTTGAGGCATTTACTCATTGACAAATATACCAAAGGCTCTGAACAGCCAAGAATCAGTGAATAGGTGTGTGATGAATCTGATGAAGTACAGAATTTTAGAGAGCTGTATATTTACAACAAGAAAGGACTACTGGTACCTTTTCTCCAGGTGTCTGCGTTTGCAGGGACGTCTGGCCATGGCTGCCCAGTCCTCCCGCCATCTTTCTGCTCCATTCCAGGGCTCTGTGCTTCTGTTTCTCTCTGGAATGACTTTATTTTGTTTCTGTGCTTTCATAAGTGCCTGTTCTCTTGTCTTCCTGTTTAGACTCCAGAAAGAAATACACATATTCTTTCATATGCCAAGAGTTAGGGAAAAGAAAACTTATTCTGCGTTTACAAAGGGAGCCTTTGTATCATCGAGCTTGGTAGGTGCTCGTTAATATCAGGGCTTTTGTTTGCTTTCCATTAAGGAACATTCAACAAACCATTCCTCCCTGTTCCTGTACTAGGATGTTATCTAGCCACTGAGAGAATGGACACTGAGCTCACAAGGTAAAGATGCCCTTAAGGGAGAGTTGAGCTGGCAGCCAGGAGGCAATGCTGAACAGAGCCTCAAAAGGAGAGGAGGGTTGACAACAAGAAGAGGAGGAAGGCCCAGTGCCCATGAGGAGAAGCATGGCAGGCAGGCAGAGGCCTGAGGAGTCTAGTCTACAGTAAGTGCTTCAAACCAGCTACAGGCACATATATTAGAAAGATTATTCCAGGCAGAACCAGCCTCAGCTCCAACTTCTAAGGTGGGTCTTGCATGGGCCAGCTTGGGGTGGGCACAGTTCAAATACTTTAGCTTCCTTCCTTGTTTCAATAAATATCCTAAATGTGGGGCTGAAGAGATGGCTCAGTGGTTAAGAGCACTGTCTGTTCTTCCCAAGGACCCGGGTTCAATTCCCAGCACCCACAAAGCAGCTTGTAACTGTATGTAACACCAGTTCCAAGGTATCTGACACCTTCATTTTAATGCATATAAAATAAAATAAATTAAATTATTTAAAAAAAAAAACACCTAAGTGTGTCCTAATGAGTATGTGGCAATTTGTAGAACCTTTAAGTGGTTGACTTTTGTTTTGTGTCTGTTTAATACTTGTCACTTATTTTGCGGGGTGTACTTTCAGGGAGTCCCGCCTTTTCCTTCATGGGGTCTCCTCTCTGTGGGTGGCTTGTTTGCATTCTCTATTTGGTCTCTGCAGACACTGGTACAGACTGTTGGTGTGGTTTACACATAAATGATCGATCGGTGAACAAGCACAGTATGAGAGGGCACCACTCAGCAGCCCCAGGGTGACCCAGTGATGCCCTCAGCAATGCCAATCTACCCAGGTGTGGTGGCGCACACCTTTAGTCCCAGGACTCAGGAGCAGAGGCAGGGAGACCTCTGTGAGTTTGAGGTCAGCCTGATCTACCTAGTGAGTTTCAGGAGAGCCAGGACTACACAGAGAAACCCTGTCTCAACCAACAAACAAATAACAACAAAACAAATCAATGTCATTTGGCAGAACATGGAGACAGTCAGTGAGCCCACCACATCCTGGGCAACCTCCAGGGCCTGGCTGTCATGAGGATTCCTGACCAGCACCAAAATACTGGGAGCAAGGGTTGTGTGTTCCATTTTCATTAAGGAGATGGTTTCAGTGTGGGACATATCAAACCCATTAAACTGTGTATCTTAACTGTAAGATATTGTTACCAAGTGCCAACTGTATCTCAATGAAGATAGAAAAGTTAAATCAGGAGTAATCTCTAATTGTTGGCTGTATAATTTCTCTCAAAATATTGGCTTTTGTTTTTTATTAATAAGCTATCTAGGTATATTAATACTGTTTACTAGTTTTCTGTGTCTTTGAAACAGACAGGATTCCCTAAATTAGCAGCCTCATTCATGACACCTCTATCTCTTCCCTGAGTTGGGCGGCTCTGTACCAGAGGCTTGCCTGTGGCTTTGTTTGTTATAAATCTGGAAACTACTATACAGGGTTAGAGAGTCCAGGAGTAACTGCAGCAAAGCCTGCATTGCAGGAACCCTGTACAGTCACCATCACGACTCTGCTCTCAAAGGGAAAGGCTGCAGAGATCTCCCTGGACAGATGGCTACCAGGGGCAGAGCACTGTTCTTTTGCAGAAGCAAGAACAAAGGACTCATGAGAGCATCCATAGGGTGGTTTCATGGAACATGAAGGCCTGCCGCCCTTCATCCTCTTGGGAGGCAGAATCCTGAGCTAGGGGAAATCTTATGTCTAAGAGAGTGATTCCAGCGTAAAGAGGGCAGCCATGCTCTTGCCCAGGCCTCAGATCTGAGCCTTTTGCTCTGTCCCAGACAAGGAACTAATGCTGCAAGGCTGTTGGGTGCTCTGCAACTTGGACATACCCTGCACCCTCCACAGTGATGGCAATTTTGGCCAAGTTGTGTAACTTCACTATACCTCAATTTCCCCTCTACAAAATGAGAAGGACCACAGCCTCTACCTTGCCTGGTCCTTGTGAGGATGGTAATTGGAAAGGCTCTATGGATAGAGCCTGGCACACAGCAAGCATGTGGCTGGGTCCGTTCTTGTGCCCTGCTATATCCCATAGCCTCAAGGAGGGTTTGGACTCAGGGGGATGGAGGCTCCTGTGATAGGAAAGAATGCCTCGTCTCTGGGTCACCATGCTCCTTGTCCCCTGGGTAGACGCAGGCCTACCCAAGGCAAATGTCAAGAGTCCTTCTGTTACCTCTGTGTGAGGTTATTTTGTCCATCAGTCTGTCGCCTGGTTTTCATGGCGGAGGCCACTCTCTGCAGAAGCAGGCAGTTGTCTCTGTCGATGACGGTGAGTCTTTCTTTTTCCATCTGTGGACACAGGGATCCCTCAATAGCACAAGTTTCTTCTAGACATACTTTCCAAAGCCACACTTTGTAGGTCCCCTGGGGTGTCAGCAGTAGCCATCAGGTACACCACAGTACTGGGCATTGGGACAAGAACAGGGGGGACCACTATATCTTTGGGGTGAAATCACTGGGATGGGCAGCAATAGCAAGGAGATACACTACCTTGCACATTTAGGTCGCCTGTTGTGGTCATGCTGGTGAGGAAACTACCTCAAGAGACATTTTATGTTGCTCAGAAGTGTATATTTGATTCCAGAGGGAAGAAAAAATTATACTTTGGTTACCCCCTGCACTTTCTCTGTGTGTGTGTGCATGTGCATACATGTCTGTCCATGTCTTGGCATGACCTGTGGAGGTCAGAGGACAACCTCAGCTATTCATCTTCACCATCTGTTTTGTTTGAGACAGGGTCTCCTGTTTTCTGCTTGATATTCCATACTACTTGACCCTCAAGCATCCGGGAATTCTCCTGTCTCTCCTCCCATCTTGCCTTAAGCGTGTTGGGACCACTAACCCCACCACTGACTGCTGGTATTTTCAGCTTTTAAACTGGCTCGATTGCTGGTTGCTCAGCTGCTCTTCTGCCATCACTTTCAGTTTCCCTCGGGGGCATCACTGCAAACATGACTATGTATTGTTCACGCTCACCCAGGGCCTATGCTTCAAGAAACACAAATCCAGAAGTGGCCAAAAAATTAAAGGAATGATGCTAGTAAATTATCTGGATGGGCGCTGTTATATCTAGGGGCACTAGAGTTGTGTCTGCTTCTATGACGTGATGAGGCAATATCATAGAAGTACAATCACTAGCTCCGTTGGGGCAGGACCAGTTCAGTTGGCCTTTTAGGTGATAACATGCCTTTCACAAGGCCAAAGTGCTTGTCTGCTCATATACCAGGGCTCTGACATCACCTTGTATTCTGGGAGTGTGGCAAGAAGAGGAGGTACACACATACCTTCAACTTCTTGAACTTTAGGTGGAGGTGGCTGTAATTCTGCGGTGGGTGGGTGTCCACGAGTGGCTGGGCATTCAGGACCTGCAGCACAGAGTGGGCACTGAGATTCCAGGGGCAGTTTGAGCAGGTTCTGTGACATCCCATGAGGACTTTGTGCCAAAGAATCCAAATAGCCTTTAGCAGGAAGTTCTCGATGAGGCTCCTGATTTGGCTTGGATTCCAGCAACCCCTGAAAGGGACCAGGTGGCCCTCAGAAGCGAGCCGTGTTCTGCTTTGGGTGGAGAATCACAGGGATGCAGGGCGAGGTTTGCTTCAGTGGTAACAACCAGTCATTTCTGCCCAACACTTTGCGGCAAGTACTCTCCTGCAGGCTACGCCCCACTTGCAAGGCTGTCTAAGCCCCAGCAATGTGTTCAGGAAGTACCTCATGCCAGAACTGACTACAAAGCAACCCCTGGTAGAGTTGGGGAAAGCACACCCTTTAAATGTGGCAGATTGCATTCATGAGTGCTGTGCATATTTTGGCTTGCCATGAAAGGAATCCCTTTTGTTCTAGATTCCTGATGACAGATCACTGATGCTAGGATCTATCATCTGATAACCTGAAGGTGACAGAGTTGAGAACCAGCCAAGGGACATACTTAGAACATTTCTAACACTAGAATTCAGAGTGAGGCTCAGTGTTAGAGCACTTGGCCTGGCACATACCACCAATATGTGCAAACCAAACCAAACAAACCAACTAAAGGACAACAATTTATCAGGCAGTCTGGAAGTCAACCCGGTGGTTGAAGTGTAGTGAGGGGCTGAGGACTAGTGAACTGAGAAGATTGCTAGAAGGTGGGGCAACACACACACACACACACACACACACACACACACACACATACACATAGACATTCAAGAACTAGAAGTACCTAGCAGCATACGTCAAAGAGTCACACTGTCTTTTGTGTTTAAGAAAGAGAAGACTGGAGGCAGGAGGAGATGCCAGGGAACTGTGGTCCTTCAGGCCCACAGGCTGGAATCAAAGGGATGGGCCCTATTTAAAGCTATTGAAGATGAAAGTGAGAGGAAAGAGAGAAAGAGAGGGAGAGAGGAAAGAGAAGAGGAGAGAGAGAGAGAGAGAAGAGAGAGACCCACACGCTGTTTTGATTCCTGCTGACATCAAGACAGATCAAGGTGGTGCCCAAGGTTGGTGCATTCTCTGCAGATTCTGTGTGGGCCCTGTTTAGTCTGAGATGACTGAGTAGGGCTTTCTTATATGATTTATTTGGGGGGGGGAGACCCAGATGAAGATGTAATCTTTATGTTCCTCAGAATACTGTGCTAGCTTGCTTTATGGTTCAGCCTTGTGTTGACTGAGGTATTTGGATACATTACAGGGTGCTTGCTTTTGTATGTTAGAGATGTGGAACACAGATTCCTGAATGTGAAACACAGCACTGAATTTCGAGAGCTGGTGTGGGAGAATCACCAGCAGCTGTGCAGTGACAGGCAAGGAGGTCTTTAACACAAAGGTTTCTAGGTCTAGGCTCTGGGAAACGGGGGCACCCGTGACCATGGGTCACTATCTTTGCTAGTGGCATACAGGCATCCACAGTGTGTCTCCATCTCCATAATGAGAATAGGGATGACATTTTGTTTGTTTCATCCATGGCTGTGTGGTCTGCATTAACTTACAAAGAAACACCAGAAAAACCCAAACAGTATTCTATGAAACAAGTATACTGTGTCCTCAAGGACTCCATGTCCTGGCACACATGAAATCAGGAAATTAAACTGATATGAAGTGGTATGAAGGCAATGTGTTGGGAGAATAGCTACATTCATGGGACAATTTAGAAAATGAACCATGAAGTGCCAGCATCATGTATGTGAAAACTGTACTGTTGTTTTGAAAGAGAACGATTTTGCTTTTGAGAACTACACAGTGAGAGCCTAAGGGATAAAATGCATACCATATTTTCTTAAATTGCTTCTCTGTGTGCGTGCATGAGACAGAATTAGAGAGAGTATATTAGTTACTTTGCATGTTTTTAGGACAAAACACAGGAAAAAAGCCAATGTAAAGAAGGAAGGGAGGGAAGGAGGGAGGGAGGAAGGGAGAAAGGAAGGAATGAAGGAAAGAAAGAAGGAGGGAAGGAAAGGAGGAAGGAAGGAAGGAAGGAAGGAAGGAAGGAGGGAGGGAAGGAAGGAAGGAAGGAAGGAAGGAAGGAAGGAAGGAAGGAGGGAGGGAGGGAGGGAAGGAAGGAAGGAAGGAGGGAAGGAAGGAAGGAGGGAGGGAGGGAGGGAGGGAAGGAAGGAAGGAAGGAAGGAAGGAGGGAAGGAAGGAAGGAGGGAAGGAAGGA